TACATCAAGGAAAAAAGATTACGGTATTGAAGACTTACATATTTGTAGTCATAAGTTTCTAAATGGTAACTCCTTCAGAATTTCAGGGGCCACGAAAGAACGCCTCACGAAGATGGCAGTTTCAGCATCGAGACGCGATTCCAACTCGCGGCATTTGACAATGCCGCGTTTAACCAGTCGAAGAGCATCAGGTGCAGAAAGGGTCCGGCCTGGAACGAACAGATCAAGGAGCTGTTTTGTTATGATAACTGCTGTTTAACGCCGCAGTACGCGTTCCGAATGTTATCACAAGAATGCTGAGTTGTGGGCAAAAGTCGTGCCCCAGGCGGGAGTCGAACCCGCACCTCACGCTTTCCGGGCGAGTGCGCTATCCGTTACGCCACCAGGGCCGCTTTTACCCTCTCAGCTTAACGGCTTATGCCGTAACCTTACAGCACTCACACGTTTAACTTGGTGACTTGACTTGATCAAGGACGCTCTTTTTGAGCGAATGATAACAATTAAAGGGGGTGGGGGCGGTACATCTGTCAACTGGGTACTTCTTCGCTGAAAGGGTCCAGAGCCATTTTCTCGTAGCATCTGCTGGCTGAGTATTAAAAGGGAGGAGAATAAGGAAGAAGGAAAAGAGAAAGAAAAGCGGAAGAAGAAAGAAGAAGGAAGAGGTAGGGTTCGCGGTTGACAAACGTCTTGAGACAGGATTAAGGGTACTAATTATCCATTCCTGCCCACCCTTCGAACTTTTCGGTCGAGCTCTATTGAAATTTATCCCTCCGGGTAGACCTGATCAGATAATTATCCTCTGGGGTAGCTGGACTCACTGAAGATGAATATCACATGCGACAATGCCCAAAACAGGTACATCGCGCGCGCTACAGGAGCCCGCGCCACAAACCTGTTTTTGCACCACCGCATGTTGCTAGGCGCTTCACATCAAAATAGTGACTACCTCTAGGGCCCAAGTTTTGACCGAATCTTTTTCCAGGAACCAATTTCGATGAAACCAAGTCCCAAGGAATGGGTTTGTAAAGGGCAAATAGTGCAGGATTCGAAAGTTGTCGACTGAAAAGAAATTACCTTCGTTCCAGTCCCGAGAAATTTCGTCGAGCGATTTTTGTGGCAATTCGTTTTCTTGCTGCGGATTCTCTTCAGCAAGTGTTTGTGTGCAAGCGTCATTAGTTAGTGGATGTTCGCTGTCTGAATGAAAACTTAACACTGATCGTATCGAGTGCTCTTCCTGGCTGTAATTTCACGCGGAATGAGAAATTAATCATACTCATAACGCAATATTTCAATAAATGTTATTATTTGAATTTTAATGGGCCTGGTTAGAATGGAAACGTCAAAATGCCACAGTAGCCAATTGTAAAGCTAGAGGTAGACTTGGGAAAATTTTGCATCCAACTCCCAGAATGAACATGGAGCTTCAAGTTTTCTTATGCAGAGCTGGATCAAAGTCCATTTCCCCTGGAATCAAGGTACCTCTTGTTTCTCGGGCTCTTTCTATATAAGCAAGTAATGAAGAGAGCGTTGATAAATGTATTATGGAGATTGTAGTACGTCTAACACCTTTGCCTCAAGCAGCATAAAAATCTTAAAAACTAGAGCCAGAACACAACTCCCAGACAACAATTAAAAGGCATGGGTTGCTCCACCATGAAAAAACAACAATACTATGTTCCTGAGAATAGTATCACCCACATAAAACTCGCAGTCAAACAGGGAAAAAAGGAGGAAGGAGTTCGAAAGTAGATTTGCACAAGCAAGCCAGAGTTGTCTTAAAGATTATCGGAATATCAGGGAAGCATCACTCGTTCTCTACTCAGAGCTGAAAGTAATGAGGACCCCAAATGGGATTTTCATTACTTTTAGCTCCGAGGAGAGCACGGGGTGATAAAGGTGGAACTCTGAGTAAAGGTGCTAGTCTAAAACACAAACACGCACGCAGGACAATAAGCTTATGTTGATCGTACATGGCAGAGCGATCTTTTCTCAAGGCACTTCTTCGACGTTGAATGTGAAGAGGTTGCGATGTGCATGTTTCATAAAATACGAAAAGGTCTGTTTATTTGTATCGAGGCCGCATTTGAAATAACTAAGAAATGCGAATCTGCGGACTGGGGGAAGATGCAGAATTGCAGAGGCAATGCGAAATCGGCGATAACGAGTAGATAAGAACTGACAGCCTGCAGATTTTGCATTTCTTCCAATTCAGCAGATTCGGCAGTTCTTCAAATCATCGCGTATGAACGCGAGTTTCTCCATTGATGGGTCGAGAAACGCGATGTCGTGACATGTTTCAACCATATCATTAACAATATTACTTAACGCAAAAATAAGCTATAAGATACAAACCGGACAGATCACAGTCTTCGTCGCCAATCGAAAAACGGGGTATCTGCCTCCGAGATCTTGACGAATGAAGCCTGTCGGAAATCCACCTAAATGAGAACGTTCGAGGAGATATACTCGAAATCCCTGAGATCGGGTAGGCGTGGCTGCATTCTTCAACTTAACTTGAAGGTCTCTATGCTTCTGGTGGAATTTTCATCTTGACACAACTGTTGTCGTGACTCTGTCCAACACAGGACAAGAAGTTGTCCCAGATTGGAATATTCCACGAGTAACCAGTTCCGTGCCATCTTCAAATGCCACGCCTACTCTGGCTCAGGGATAAGGAGTGTAAGAGCCGTTCTAAGATCGTTTATGGCGGATGCATGATTTTGCAGCATTTCAAACAGGACATATCATTAGGGAAAATTTTTGCATTTCTTACCCTTTTGCCTACCCTCTCCAAAAAAATTTCTCCTCCGGAAGACTTTCAGATCCATATCCTCCTAACAGCTAAATTTCTCATTCTATCCTCTCCACGTTCCAGTTTTTCCGCTCGAGTCCACTCCTTCCTGCCGACAACTAGCCGGAGGGATGGACGCGAGCATATAGTCACATCAAACCGGCCGACAAAAATGGGAAAGTGTCAGCAACTTAAAAGAATTCATGCAGAGAAAAATGCGAACTCCCCGCCCTTTCCAGCGATCACATACGACCCCCTACTGCAACCTACGACGTACCCTTATTTCGAATGCAGGAGACATTGAAAGTTTCGATAAAACGAGATATACAATACATAAGTAACGATTAATCCACAAGGTAGAGAAAAAAGAGTCAAAATTCTTCAAGCTTCCCAAGCAACTAAAATTAATATAAAAAGCTCTTCACACGTACCGTTCGGCTTCATCTTTCCAGGACTCTTTCGTTATGTCGAGTGAATTGAGAAATATACGAATATCACTCTCTTCTCCTCTACCCATCGTGTAGAACTGCTACACAGAGATCAACAAGTAACAAACATCCCAAGCTACAATAAAAAATGTTGCAACTATGATGAGTCACGTCAAGACACTATTACGAAAGCAGTTCATGATGCAAAGAAAATATTTTGAAAGTGGTGCATATCTCTCGGAAGAAGGTTAAAGTAGACAAGCAAACGTCAGCAAACATATGGAAAAAAAATGTCAACTGCGTACCGATACAGTGGCGTGACTTCCTGAAAAACTCATGGCACCACCCGAACTCGTATCGATCAATTAAAGACGTGAGATATGTGGCTTGTACGTGGGTGCACCAGCTGCAACGGACTAGACGACAGGATGTGAGAAACAAAGGCGTTTTCGCAGCTGTGGCAGGGCACGTCTTCCCGCTGGGGAAGATCCTTGGGAAGTAAGACCCGCTCCTGAAAATGTTTTTCTTTGACGCAACCCTCCTTTTCCATCCAAACTACCATCTCCCCACTCTTCCCCCAATTCTCTGAATTTCCCAACACTATGCGAGAAATTTACAGTTATTCCCCAAAAAAACTGCCGTCGAGCGCGGAAGCGGGAAAGGAGGAGGGGTATACAGCACACCTGCTACAGGAACTACCTGAAATACCAAGAACAATGAACAACCGAAAAAATTCTTATCAAGAGCAAACACGCCATCCCCACCCCCCTCTCCGGCGACCAAATACGATCTCCCGCCACCCATCTGGCGATCCTCAACGTGCGGCGTGCACTCGTGCACTGAGCCGTGGCATCCTCACTCACATTTAGCCTTACGCAGGATATGATGCTGCTTTTGCTTAGAACATAGAATCATGCTCACAGCGAGCATTTCCTAATAGTAGCCAGTTGGTCGTTGTGTGACAAACAACTTGGAGGGGGCTAAGCGGTAACTGTTCTTCTATTACTTGCAGTCCGCACTCTTCTAAGCCTAAGGCTGGAGGATGGAAAGGATCGCAGTCTTGGTGTGGAGCAGTCCTTCCGAGTTGGCGCATCGCACTAGTGAAGTATTTCCTAGCTTGACTAGACGAACAAGGGCACGGAGAGAGCTAGTCAACTTGAGAGACGCAGAGGGAGACGACGCACCGCTTGCCACTTTGAGTGGATTGGGTCCTGATGCGAATGCTGCGTATGCCACCCCGCCCGCAGCAACGCCTATTTTGCCGCACTCGCCGCAACTCGTAACTTCTGAGTCGGTAGGAACGTTCTATACCGCGGGCTTCTTGGGAGGAAGAGAGCCATGGTCGCCATACTCAAAAAGCACAATTCAACCACCGCAGCGCCCAGGTTTATGAGAGAACGAAGGTCAGCAACAAGTTAGTTTTGTTTTTAAAGTTTTGTTTTGTCTCTGTTTTGTTATGGATGCCAGATCGAAAGAGCTTTATGATCAGTGATGAAGGTCACATTCGCGGCGGATACTGAAGGGTTGATAAACCTTGACCCCCTTTGCTAATGTGAAATGAATGTATCAAAAGAAAACTGG